GGTAAATTGTTTGAGAGTAACATTTCATCTCAGCAAGGAACATAAAATAATCTCTACAAAAACTCTACTTATACACGCCGGCTTACATGCCCGTGTACAGGCCAACGGTAATTTTCATTTTAGTAAAGCAAACTGTCTGTGACCCCGAACTATATATGCACAGACAACTCACTTTTTCGGGGTCACATACAAATCTCTTTCATCATCATCATTACCCCAATGCCGCAAAGGCTCCCATCTACGGTGGGGTAAGCGGGGGGGGGGGGGGGTCGGATGTGCACAGACAAAATACCTTTGGCATGTATACGGGCGTGTAAGCCGGCGTGTACAAGTAGCATTTTTGTAGTCTCTAACGTTCAGAATCTAAGCATCCTATTATGAACATCTTTTAAAGCATATGTTCACATCTCTTCTTATACATTATTGAATACAAAACTAAAACATGATCGTGCTCTGGTTGAAGCCGAGATATGCGCAATATTTCTTCTAAATCACACAATTACATATCTTTCGTAGATTACAAGACATGTAGAAATGGCAGATATTTTAATGCTCAAAGTGCATTCGTTCTAATTTGATTATATTTCAAATACTACATGTATAATATCTATCTAAAAACATTATAATTATGAATGTGAGTTAGTATCCTTGAATTATGTCCATCTATTATAAGCATATGAGGTTGTACACTTTTATTAAATCATTGTACTTATTTTTTCAATGGGTTTTAAATACCCCTCCTCCGTTAACTTTAAGAAGCGCCGTTTAATTCGTGGGTAGAGTTAAACAATGTCTAACTCGTCTGCAACGACCATTCATAAACAGGAGGTAAAGTTTATTGAATTATTGATGAGCAATTAATATTTAGTCCTTTCACGTTAAAAAAATAGTCCTTTCAATGTCATTTAAATATTTTTTTATTCTTATTGTCGTGATTTTGTTTTTGAGAGTTGTAGTGATTTACGTAATCCAATTCTCCAATTCCAAAAGCCTACCTGGTTTCTATCCCATAACCTGTAACCCTTTACCCCCTCTGGATAACCTAGGAAGACACATTTCTTAGACCTAGGATCCAACTTGTCACCTTGTTGATGTGCATACGCTGCACAACCAAACACCCGAAGGTTAGACAGATCAAGAGGCTTACCGGTAAAGACGGTTTCAGGACACTTACCACCAAGAGGGACAGACGGGGACCTATTAACCAAATAGGCAGCAGTAGTGACTGCTTCACCCCAGAATTTCTTAGACAAACCAGAGGTAGCTAACATGCTTCTAACCTTATCCAACAGAGACCTATTCATTCTCTCTGCTATCCCATTCTGTTGGGGAGTATAAGGCACAGCTTTGTGCCTTTTTATCCCACAATCCACACACAGCTTATCCATCTCCTTATTACAGAACTCTAACCCGTTATCGGTCCTAAGGGTTTTAACCTTCCTGCCAGTTTGGGTTTCAACTAGGGTTTTCCACTCCCTAAACCTCACAAACACATCAGACTTGTGTTCTAAAAGGCAAACTCACACCTTCCTAGAAAAGTCATCAATAATAGAAAGGAAATATTTCCTACCCCCGTGGGTAGGAACACTGGCAGGACCCCAAACATCGGCATGAACATATTCAAGCACAGACGAACACTTAGACAGATTAGGGTAAGAGGAGGGAGGGAAGCTGACTCTATGCTGCTTGCCTAACACACATGATTCACAGAAAGGCACAGAAGTCACAGAGTCCTTACCAAAATAACCAGCCCTACGCATGACATCTAAACCCTTATTGCTCATATGTCCTAGCCTATTATGCCACAAAGAGGTCTTATCAGAACATACAACATTCACAGACTCAGCAAAAGGTTTAGCATGACACACATAAAGGTTATTCACCTTCTCAGCTTTAAACAAAACAAGCGAGTTTTTCAGGATTTTCATACAACCATTCTCCCATTTTCCCTGTAACCCACTACTCTCCAAAGCAGCAACAGATAACAAGTTATGAAACAAATCAGGGACATGCCTCACATTCTTAATGGTAAACACAGAGCCACAAGAAAACTTCAGACATATATCACCAACACCAAGCACATTGCATCTCTTATTATCAGCTAAGGAAACGTAGCCACTATCACATAATTCATAAGTAGAAAACAAATCTCTAAAGGGGGACATGTGATAGGTACAACCAGAGTCAATCAACCATTCATGCTCAGACAGGGAATTTCTCACAGAATTAACATGGTCACAAACCATCAAAATATCACCAAGGTCACATTTATCAACAGCTACACTAGCATGCTCGGTCTTCTTAGGGTGGGGGCAATCCTTAATGAAATGGCCAGTGTTACCACAATTGTAACACACTCTCTTCCTAGATTTGCTCCTCTTCCTCCCAGGTTGACTAGTGTTCTTACCCTGACTATTTTGCTTAGAGTTCTTAGACCTACCCTTAGATCTACCCCTAACAAACATAGCCTCACCGGAGTCCCTGGACTGACTAGCACTACCCCTAGCATGCTTCAGGTCTAATTCCTTACTCCTTAACCCATTCACCACAATGTCTAATGAAATCTCATCCCTACCGTACTTAATAGCGGACTTAACATCATTATAAGAGTCGGGAATGGCATTAAGTAATACTATGGGAGTGTAATCATCTATGTGTTTATCACCTGCCTGTTTGATATTCTGTATCAGTTTATTAAACACATCCAGGTTCTCATCTATATCCTTAGTCAGGTCAAGCCTAAACCTAAAGAATTTCTCTAGCAAGAACAACTTTCCTGGTAAAGAGGTATCAGTATAGAGACTATCCAATTTCTCCCACAACTCCTTAGCGGACTCAAGAATACCTACTTTTCTAAGCACAGAATCAGACAAATTCAAGTAAATAGTAGAACAAGCAGTTTCGTTCATTTCAATTTGCTTAGCCTTATCTTCTGATTCAAGGAAAATACCAGTGACAGCTCTGAAAACTTTTTGCTGTATTAAAACACACTTTATTTTGTGTTTCCAAATATCAAAATATGTTTTTCCATTGAATGGAAGCATACCATACTGATTTGCAGCCATGATATCAACCACAAAAGGAACACAAAGCTAAACAGACTGAATTGACAGAAAATAATCCAACCCGGGTTATAAAGTATTCACTTTAATAACCCCGGGCAGCATGCAACACATAGCAAAAAAATGGACATTTTGGCAATTAAACAATTCCGGGCAGAAAAATTAAAATTAATTAATTCTACCCCTACCACCCAATAAACCACCCCTACGCATAACAATTAAATTAAATAACACTTAGCAATTTAATTAACACACTAAAACATTCTACACAAAGGAGAAGGTTTAGAAAACGTACCTGGGGGGTTGGCGGCCGGGATTAAATCAACCGGCGGCCCGCGGGGAGGGGGAATAAATTAAATTAAATTAAATTAAAACCGAAATGCTATAAATAGTAAGTTTATTGAAAACTTACCTTCGCGAAACCCTAGGAGAGCGTTTCGACCTTACCTACCCAAATTAAAAAAAATTGGGATTTTTTTCTGGAGGATTGACTGCCGTTGACCGGCGTTGACCAGCGGCGGTTGACCGGCAGTTGACTGGTGGTCCAGCTCCTCAGCAGTCCAGGTCAGCAAACCCGCTCCAGCCCGGTCCAAGACAACAGCCCAGCTCCCAGCTCCCAGCTCCAGTCCAAGACAGCAGCTCCAGTCAGCCCAACAGCCAAGTCCAGCTCTGTCCAGCAACTCTAGAAGCAGTCCAAAAAAGGCCCAATAGCCCAGAGCCTCAACAGACTGCTCCAGCAGTCCAAATCATCATCGGTCCAGCAGCTCCTTCAGTAAGAACGCATCTGGCGTTTCTTGTACGCGAGGCCTGCAGCGAAGGAAGACCGGCGAATATCCAACCTCGGCTCCAGCTACTCCAGGGCCAGTGACTGGAGATGACCGACGATCAACACCCTGCGGCGGCGAGCTTTCAGGCGACGGGCGAACTTCCAGCGGCGGCGAGGTTCAAGGTGACGGCTGGTGGTGGATTCCGACGAGCTTTTAGGAGGTGGTGATGGGGCTTCAACTTCGGACGATTTGCCAGCCCTCTGGCCAGCTCTCTGCTCCGGCGACGCGGCTCCTGCAACTGTGATGGCGGAGCTCCCAGGTGACGTAACAGGGCTCACCGACGACGACGGCGAAGCTTTAGATTCCGGCGAGGGTTTCAAGCTTCGGTCAGAGGAAGTCTATTTCAACCTCCTGGCAGCGAACGGCGAAGAACCAGGCCTTCGGGAACTCCAGCAAGCTCCAATCGATGGCGGCGGCGGACTGTAACACCGTCCCCAAATGTATTTACTTTTATGTAAATGATGTAATAAACCTTATGGAATGATTTATGAATTTACGAAGTTGTAAATTTTTATTTATTCTTTCGCGTGAATAGTAAATTGCACGTGGGACCCACACCGGGAGCGGGGGCCGCCCGATTTTCCCGAGACCATACATTTTATTCATCATGGTCTAGATAATAAATATGTAGTGGTGGATATTTCATTTGGGCCATGGAAAGGCCCGGAGTTGACCGATTGGTCAAAAGAAGCCCAAATTACCAGTACTGGTAATTTAACTGATAACAGCCCGAACTGAATTTCGGAGGCTTATAAATTAAAGTTGGGGAATGTATATTCATTATACATGTCATAATGAGTAAGAGCACATAATATATTTTATTTGACCCGATAAAATAAAATATATTTAAAACAGTCCGAAAAATACAACTTTCGGGACCGATTGTACACTTCGGGACACAAAGGGTTGACCTCCCACATGAGTGGGGGCCAACCCACGAATTTGGACACTCAATATGGGGTGTTGGCCGCTGGAATGGGAATAGGAAGGTGGGAGGTGTTGGAGATTGAATGGAAAGGCATCAAAAGTACCTAAGGTGGACCCTCATTTTGCACTCATTGGATTAATGAGACAAAAGTCCATTCTCATCCCTCTCCCCTCTTCATTTTCGGCCAAGCTACAGCAAGAAGAGAAAGAAAACTCTTCTTCTTCCTTCCTCCATTGTTGAAGAGAGCTCATCAAAGAAGAATCACCCAAAAAGGAGCTAAAGTGCTAAAAGTGTGAAATAATTAAGGTAATGACCTTATTATAACTTTTTCTTTATTTTTCTTCTACCATATGAAGTATATAGCATATGAAGAACCTTTAGTATGGTTCCATATGTTATAAGTATGGATTCATGGGTTGGAAGGTGGTTCTACGTCCAAAAACGGACTTAGAAGCCAAAACGACCGGTTCACCGGAAAATAACCTTTTAGAGGTTATTTGTATTAATATGGGTTTTATGATTATAAAACCTTGTTAGGCACTTGTAAAGGGTATTTCAAGTGATTTCACAAAGTTGGAAAAGTCGCCGGAGTTGTCGCCGGAGTTGACCAAAAGTCGCCGGAGTTTCACCGGAGTTCAACCAAGAAGGGTGGAACTTCATAACACTAGTTCAAGGTGAGTGGACGGCTTAATATCTTATAACTTTTGGGTTAATTATGAGATTACCTAAATAAATGTTATATGAGTTCATAATGATGTTTAAAAGATATTTAAACATGTGATTAGCCAATAGGGTTAAGTTTGTATAAAAGAAATAAATGATTTATGCATGGAATATGATATGAGGAATTACATAAAATCCATATTTGTTTGAAAGGTATAAGGAACACCAAATGAACATTATCAATTTAATTACATGATGATTAAGTCGATAAGTGTAAGACTTGAAATGGCGGTCAACGACAGCGTTGACCGGTGGATAATGGATTAATTAATATCGGTTGATATTAGTTAGTTATACATTTATAGAATCGCATGGTTTGCATGGATTGTGATACATAAGCTTTATGTATTGAATTAGTTATGAGTAACTAAGTGTGATATAAACTCTATCTAGGTTGATAGAAGGTTGATCATAGGAAAATATTTTGGTGGAGGACCCTAGTACTCAAAAGTACTTAACACTCAAAATTTGGTGGAGGACCCTAGGACTTAAAGTCCTTAACACTCGGATTATAAATTGGTGGAGGACCCTAGGACTTAAAGTCCTTAACACTCAGATTATAAATTGGTGGAGGACCCTAGTACTTAAAAGTACTTAACACTCAAACTTGGTGGAGGACCCTAGGACTTAAAAGTCCTTAACACTCAAACTTGGTGGAGGACCCTAGTACTTAAGAGTACTTAACACTCAAACTTGGTGGAGGACCCTAGTACTTAAAAGTACTTAACACTCAAACTTGGTGGAGGACCCTAGTACTTAAAAGTACTTAACACTCAAAACTTGGTGGAGGACCCTAGGACTTATGAGTCCTTAACACTCGCAAACTGGTGGAGTACCCAAGGATTATGATCCTCAAAACTCATAGATTATGATATTGAAATAGGGACAAGGAGGAGTCCTATACACTCATTGGTATATGGGTGGGTTGGGGTTTTTAGTCAAGAATATTGACTATTACTATTCTTCCCAAATAAAATGGTGATCTACGGATCGGATATTTTCCAAGTATATATTTATACTAATAAGTATTTCATAACTTGGGAGAAAGACTATCTATTTAAGTATCACCCTATGTTTGGGTCTTATACTTGAAACGCTAGTTATTCTATATTTAGCCTGCTACTCGCTCGGTACTTGTACTGACCCCTTCGGGGGGCCCCACCATTTTCAGGTTGAAGCTAGGGCTTGCTACTTGCACCTTCTCACGGGTGGTATCAAATCAGGAAGACGTGGTTCGTGCTTCCTTATTTTCTTTCAAACTACCGAACACTTGCTCATGGACATTTGTTCTACTATAAACTATTTTTGGGGCTTGCATGCCCATGTTGTTGGCCGGTTGTGGCCTATGACTTACCGTTGAATATTTTCCGCTATTCATTGGTTTAAATGTGATGTTGTTATGTATGTTTACTACTGAGTATGGATGGATTGCTTTCTCGAACGCCTTGTGTAATTGAGTGAGGTTGACTCGTGGGTGACGTCACTTAGTTATACGGCGGTTGTACACGCGCTTGGATTGCGGTCTGGGGCGTGACAATTAAGTGGTATCAGAGCCATCTCAGTTCTAAACTATATAATCAACCTCTCACAAAAGATTTTACAAAAGAGTTTTTGCCGAAAACCATGAGCATTGTATTTTAACGTTTATAGGACTATTGGTGCTTAAGTTGCAAGGCCTCTAATTGTTAAGACGGTACCCTTAACAATTGGTATGGTAGTGACTTGGGCCAATACGTGTCTGTAACGTTTCTCCGTCAATTGACATTTATAGGAGTCTAATGACTCATCCATATTTCTTTCAGAAATGGAGGGCAGGCGAATGCGAACCAGGAACAATCCGAGGGGGCAGACGCCGGTAGCATCCCAAAGGGGGAGCCGGGCTGCATCTCGGGGTTCAAGAGGAGGCCGTGGAGGCCGTGGAAGCCGTGGAGGTCACCAAGCTCAAACTGTGAGTGAGGGCCATGTAAGCTCGGTGTATGAAACTGATAAGTCCATTTTTGAACTTATTTTTCTTATCAAATTTAAGCGATTTTTGAATGAAAATAGAAAGAAAAGACACATTTTATATATTTTGGTTCAAGTTTCATGAAATCAGGTAAAAATCATATCCATAATATGTTTAGCGGGATTTCGGGTCAATTGAGCACAAAATGAGTCAATTTGAGTGACAAATGCATTTATACCGGAAGAAGCAAGCATTTTATCAAGGTGATTCAGAAGACAAAAATGAAGAGCAGGAAAAGCCGCATCTGCCAGACAAAAATAGCAGAAGGCGCCCAAATAGGCGCCCAAAATGGAGGCCTTCGCGGCCGCCTACGGGAAAAATAAGAAGTCAACCTCGCTTTGACTCGGGACCAGGAAAAGACCGAAGGCTACCGACACTGGACAGAAGGCGGCCGCCTACGGTGGCCGCCTGCGGCACAAGGGGACGAAACCAACCACCGGTCGGCCAGACAGGACGGCAGGCGGCCAGACAGGACGGCAGGCGGCCGCCTGCTGGACCGCCTGCGGCGGCCGGGATCCGCCGGGATCCGCCGCGATCCGATTTGACCATGAAAAGACGGCAGGCGGCCGACGTGTGGCGGAAGGCGGCCGCCCTCTGTGGCCGCCTACGGCTGACGGGGACCGGCCACCGACCGCTGTCGGCGACGAGGACGGCAGGCGGCCGGAGAGAGGCGGAAGGCGGCCGCCTGTTTGGCCGCCTTCGGGGAAATTTCTGCTATAAATTGCCCGATTTTTCCTCAACTCAAACACACCAATTTCAAGCCCAAATCAGATCAAAAAGGGCGTCTTCTTCCTCCTCAAAGCTCGGATTTCCACCATTGTTGCACCTTCAACTTCAATCTTTCATATCTTTCTCATTTTAGCTCCAAATTGTGAGTTCTTTATATGTATTTTCATCCTTTCAATGAGTAGAATCTGAATCTGTATTTAGTTTTTTCTATCTGTGCTTCTAAAATTTTCAGAAAATTATTCCACTATTTCGCATTTTCTTCTTAAATTTGAATAAAATAGTTGTTGACATTAAATCCATTCCAATTAATTATATAGTTGTTTACTAGCCTCAAGGTAGTTATTTATCAAAACAAAGTTAATTTTTACGAAGTAGAAGTAAATTTTAATTAATTCCGGCATTTAGTTGTTATTATTGCATAAATTAAATTAAATACTCAAAAAGGTAAAAAAATTAGTTTCTGTCCTAATTCCAGTTTAATTCACAGTAATATCACTCCCAGTAGTCAATATAAAATTTAGAACGAATGTAGAATAATTTTAGTTGCCTTTTGCATTTTCTAGTTAAAATTGGGAAAATTATCAATTAGTTGTTAAAATTGGATTTTAGGTTCAAAAATTCGTGAAAAATTCCAGAAAGTTATACTTCAGTTTCTACAAGTTTAGTGTTCCAGAATATAAGTTTTGCTATCATCCATGTTTAATTCCTTGTTAATGTTGAATATATTCATTATATTGTTAGTTGTTAAAATGATCTTTATTAGCTAAATTTGTTTTGGGCATGAATTGACTAAAGGAATATGGATTGACTTGTTGACCAAAAAAATTAGGGATTAAAATTAATAAATTGGACTAGTTGTTTGAAATGATGAAATAGTAATTAATAATTGTTAGCCATATTCATTAATTAAAATATTGGAAAATTATCTCTAACTTGTCTATGAGATTAGAAAATAATTTAAGCCAACCATATTCGAGCACATTAATAAGGCCTAGAAATAGGATAATTTAATGAAAGGGATTTACATCTTGTCTATGAGAGATAAATTCAATTGCTTAAATAATGAGTTTAACTAGTTAATGAATTTGGCTATTTTTATTAATTAAAATATTGGAGAATTATTTCTACCTTGTCTATGAGGTTAGAATTTAATTCAAGCCAACCATTTTTGAACACATTAATGACACCTAGAAATAGGATAAATTAATGAAAATAGTTTCTATTCTTGTCTATGAGGAAAGAAATTATTAGTCCAATTTTAGTTTTAATTTCCCTAATTATTAGGTCCAAGAATATATCCATTTCTAATTACTCAATTCATTGCCCTTATTTGCATCAATCCATTTAAGTTTAATATTATATCTTTTCCTTTAGTCTATTTTTGAGCCATCATTAGTATTTGCACAATTTAATTTACTTTCTTTTCCAAAAAGTAGTTTAGAAAATCAATCAAAAGTTTTAATTTAGAAAGCTTCCAATAATTTGCGATAACCTGTGACTGGACTTGAAATCAAGAAGCTCCTCCGCCATTCCTCGAGAGACACGATACTCGGGGAAAAACCGAAAGGTTAGACTCCGTTTTACTACAACGCCGCGAAAGCGGTTATCAAATGGCGCCGTTGCCGGGGAATGGCACGGTGATTTCTTGATTTTGATTTTAGCATGGGCGAATTCAAGTTAGGGAGACTTTATTTTTCTTTTTTGTTTTGTTCTCACGTGTTTGCTTGAGATTTCCTCATGGATTACTCAAGTGAACACTTTAATTCTCAACCACCATATCACTATCCATACTATGAACAACAATCTTTTCAAAATAATCAAAATGAAGGATACTATGGACAAGGTTATGAGGATAACAATCAATGGTGCGAAAATCCACCTTTGGGGTATGGAGATTACCAATTTCAAGATAATTATTTCCACCAAGGGCAAGACTTTGAAGGCTGTGATGATTTCTCCTATCAAGGTAATTATCATGATGATTCTAATTATCATGAAAACTACCAAGAAAGGCTAGAAAATCATTACACCAGCACAAACGAGTACTCCTACGAGGGTAACTCTGGAATTTCACCTTATCCTCAACACGAACTCGAAGAGTTAAAATCGTCCTTACTTGATTTTGTGGAAGACTTAAGAAAGACAAGGATTGAACTAGCATCTCATGATGAGAGTATCAAGGAATTGTTTGAAAAAATCATTTATGACAATGACCACAAGGTTCAACAGGAGACATACGAGGAGGGTGCTAAATCTAAGGAGGAGGTTGCGGTAACCATGGGCGAGATGGTTGAAACTCTTCTCACCCCTATTTCTTTCGAGCCTCTCATTGCTACTGAGAGAGAGCCTATCCTCGTAGAACTTAGTTCTCAAGAGCCCCATATGAAAGTGCCCAATGAGGTTGATGAAGAAATCATAGATGATGAGATACTTTGTGATGAGGAACCTACCCTACCATCTATGGATGACCTCTCATTTAAAAAGTCCCTGAAGGATAGACTTGATGATGATTTTGATCCTACACAAACCCAAGCGCCTGTTGAAATAGTTGATGAAACTTGTGATGTGGAGGAAACAATGCCCGATGATGCCTTCTTTGATTCTCTACTTAATGATGATGAGCATAATTGTGCTAGGCAAGGACTTGTTTGCCTAGATGATATTTGTGGGAGTAGTGAGCGAAGTTGGGATGGATTTTTAGAGAGTGACACGGAGTTTGAATTTTGTGTTGTAAATGTCAAGGCCATAGTTGAAGAAGAAGAAACCCAAAAGGAGGAGCCTACTCGTAATGTTCTTACCATGGTGGTCCCACTTGAGCGATTTCAGGCACCTGAGGCCCCTGATCCTGAAATACTTGTTGATTATACTAATGAGAGTGATGCAGGATATGTGCTAATTTCTTGTTCGAACGATGTGTTCTTTGAAGATTATATCACATTTTGGTGGCCACGAGAGTTTGAGGGTCTACGCCATCTGACGGCATACCTGGAGGATAAGGTGGAAGCACTAATGATGAGTGCCCCACAATTGACATGCATAGCTGAGAGTTCTCTCTCAAACGTCAAGCTAGTGACGTTAAAGAAGCGCTTCTTGGGAGGCAACTCATGTTTTTCATAACATTGTTTGTTTGTTTTGTGTGTTTGCAGGGTGTGCTTCAATGTTGATGAAATAAGAGTTTGGCTTAGGCCTTACGGGAGGACACGAGTGATGCTTAGTTTTCTTCCTTAACATTTTATTGTGTTTGTTTGTTTATTCAGGTTGGACATTGTGCCGCTCTTTTGACTTAAATGGGGTCTTACAAACTGACTATGAATGATGTAATGATTTTTATTCCTGTTTCATTATTCCTCTTCACAAAATCTTTTCAAAACTCAAGTGTGAGGAAAGAACCAAAAAAAAATGTGTGTCTTTATTTCAAGGTTTTGTGCCTTAAAAGAAGACCTCGAGGGCGAGGTCTAGCTCAAGTGTGAGGAGGTTGCGTTTTACACTCAAAAGTTAAAACCTTGTTTTAGAACAATCTTTTTACTATTTTTTTGATATGAAACATTAACTTTTCAATTTTTTATCAAATCACAAAATACTTTAGATAATCACCCTTATTATAAGAATTTACTATTATTATTATTTTTGAAAACTTAAAATTGTTATGGGTTTTTGGTTGCGAATGTAAAGGTCTGAATTTGTTTTAAATTGGACATTCATTTTATTCATTAAACAAAAATGTTACCATTAATAAACCTCTTCAAAACTCATTGTTATAGGACAATTCCATCTCCGAAAAGGGGCTCTGTTTCATTCGTTAATCACAGTCTGTGAGAATGAAATATGCATTTACCATGGGATAACACCGCCAACAAGAGTGAAAAAGAGCAAAAAAAAAAATGGTGAACAAGATGAATGTCCAAATTAGAATAATGAAAATCTTGGGATAAGGAATTGATTGGTGGTTTAACATAATAAATAGTTTTTCTTAAGTAATACTAATTTTAAATTCTTGTATTTTGGGTGATTTTTCTAAAATGTTTAAAAATTGAAAATAAAAGATGAGGTTTTTGTTTCTACTTCTTTAAAATAGCAATTAGATTGTAATACAGTTAGGCTTTACCTTTTGAGTGTGTTTACAACTAATTCGTCGCTTGAGGACAAGCAACGCTTAAGTGTGAGGAGATTGATAAGTCCATTTTTGAACTTATTTTTCTTATCAAATTTAAGCGATTTTTGAATGAAAATAGAAAGAAAAGACACATTTTATATATTTTGGTTCAAGTTTCATGAAATCAGGTAAAAATCACATCCATAATATGTTTAGCGGGATTTCGGGTCAATTGAGCACAAAATGAGTCAATTTGAGTGACAAATGCATTTATACCGGAAGAAGCAAGCATTTTATCAAGGTGATTCAGAAGACAAAAATGAAGAGCAGGAAAAGCCGCATCTGCCAGACAAAAATAGCAGAAGGCGCCCAAATAGGCGCCCAAAATGGAGGCCTTCGCGGCCGCCTACGGGAAAAATAAGAAGTCAACCTCGCTTTGACTCGGGACCAGGAAAAGACCGAAGGCTACCGACACTGGACAGAAGGCGGCCGCCTACGGTGGCCGCCTGCGGCACAAGGGGACGAAACCAACCACCGGTCGGCCAGACAGGACGGCAGGCGGCCAGACAGGACGGCAGGCGGCCGCCTGCTGGACCGCCTGCGGCGGCCGGGATCCGCCGGGATCCGCCGCGATCCGATTTGACCATGAAAAGACGGCAGGCGGCCGACGTGTGGCGGAAGGCGGCCGCCCTCTGTGGCCGCCTACGGCTGACGGGGACCGGCCACCGACCGCTGTCGGCGACGAGGACGGCAGGCGGCCGGAGAGAGGCGGAAGGCGGCCGCCTGTTTGGCCGCCTTCGGGGAAATTTCTGCTATAAATTGCCCGATTTTTCCTCAACTCAAACACACCAATTTCAAGCCCAAATCAGATCAAAAAGGGCGTCTTCTTCCTCCTCAAAGCTCGGATTTCCACCATTGTTGCACCTTCAACTTCAATCTTTCATATCTTTCTCATTTTAGCTCCAAATTGTGAGTTCTTTATATGTATTTTCATCCTTTCAATGAGTAGAATCTGAATCTGTATTTAGTTTTTTCTATCTGTGCTTCTAAAATTTTCAGAAAATTATTCCACTATT